TCACAAAAAGCAAAAACATTGTGTGTATGGCAGTTGAATCTCTAACAATCACCTCACAATTGCTATGGGACTCTTAGCACTACTTAAAAACTCTCTAACAACGCGCATTTCCATGCTATTTTGACTAGTAGGTAACTATTTAAATTATTGGTAAAGCAATAAAGCCAATAATAGTGTAAATGGTGCTTATAATAATTATAATTTTTTTTATCTAGGTAATGAAAGAGGAGGACCAAATCATGGTTAGGCCTACTCTTAATTTTACACAAAGTGCTTTGCACAGAGAAAACGGTTGGATGTGTTGAAGTACTGATCAGCTCAGGCAGAGCATTGGTGCAGGTTTGCCAGGTTTTCACAACAAAACCCACTCAATATAGAGTGGGGGAACTATGACGTCAGAATCTGGAAGAGTAATTCGCTGCGGGTTCCTTCCAGATTTTCCTATGGGGTATTATAATGGGGTTTTTCAATTAATGAGTAAAATAAAGCCTGTGGTAAACATAACTTGATACTTTTACGTTTTGTTCTACAACGTAAATTACACGCATCCATACCCAAAACACAAATTGTGAAGCAGTTATGTTCATGTTTGAAAATGTATGTTTTTAATAAGTAGGCTAAATAAGAACGTTTGGGCTGTGAGTGTGTGCAGTTTACATAATAGAACAAAATGTAAAAGGATCTCAAGTTATGTTTACCACAGTAATAAAACACATGTTTTTTTGGCGGGGTTCCCCTGGTAAAACTTGCATTCCAGGGGCTAAATATCAAGTTATTGGGGTCACTTCAACCGCTGACATGAAAAACAACCTGCGGCAACAGCATTAATGTAGCCCAATTCTGCGGGAAAACAGCTCATTCAAATATGGAATGAAATGAAATGCTCATTCAAATATGATTCAATCACACCGATGTGATGTGCAGCACGATAGCTGCTAAATTCAAATCTGTGTTGGTGCTTTGGCTGGCGCTGAGCCGTTTTTACAGCGCTGCGCATTATCACCAATCACACATGATTCTGTTGAGCTTATGAATGCAATGACCAATCAGAGGCGTTCAGATGAGTCATCGCTGAAATACGGAGTTTTGTTTAGTGAGCGCCTCGCTGACTGAATTCAGATCTCTGGCTAATTAACTCTCTCATCAGAAACAACGAAGTGCAGATGTGCGTACGATGTAAGTAAGATATGCATTTCACATTGTAAACAGCTTCAGTGATTATAATGGGAGTTTTTGACTCCTGCCCCCTCAAAAATAGTAAGTGCATGACGCCCCTACATATCCCAGTGCATGTGTCCTTTCAAAATAAGAGCTACCAAAATAAGCCAAATAATACAATATCACATAGCATTTGTTGTCTATATAGCATGTGGTATTTATATCCATCATTTGTTGACTAGTTTGCTTTATCAGTTTTTCTGAAATTGCAGTTGTTTTTAAATTACTGTTTTACAGTTAAGCTGCATGGTCAAAGACCTTATTTCTTTGTTTAGTCTTAAAGGGGTGCTATTATGCTTTCTCACTTTTTCAACTTTAGTTAGTCTGTAATGTTGCTGTTTGAGCATAAAAAAAATCTGCAAAGTTACAAAGCTCAAAGTCCACTTCAAAACGAGATATTTTATTCAACAGAAATCACTTTTCAAAAACTACAACGAACGACTCGTTTGGACTACAATGCATATTTTCCATCACAAATACCGACGAATGGGACGAGACCTGGTTGAGCTGCACTAGAGAAGGCAACGAGTGTTATCACTATGTAGGAGACACGCTAGCTTTCCCAAGACAGACGAATTTAGAGTGGTTACAATCATCCGGGTTTAAATTGCGCTCAAATTGATTTGATTTTGACGCAATACTTACACTGAAGCGCGCAGGCGGCTATGGTAAGAGGCATGACATTTCCCGACCAGGCGCCGAGTGCTGCCAATCACAACACACACTGGCCCAGCTAACCAATCACAGCACATTTCGTGTTTCAGAAGGCGGGCCTTCATTTGATACAGGAACTATTCGAGCCGTTCATGCCAGACTGGGGAGAGAGGTGTTGTAATAATGTAAAATATGGGGAAAATAATGTGTTTTTCGAACAACCTAGTATGAGAGCCTGTTCTAGTACACCCCCAAAACAAAATCAAGACTTTGTAAAAGAGCATAATAGGACCCCTTTAAAGGGTTAGGTCACCCGAAAATGAAAATTAGGCTGTGTTTTACTCACCCCCGATGCATCCTATGTGTATATGACTTTCTTCTTTCAGACGAATCCAGTCGGAGTTATATTAAAAATGGTCTTTGATCTTTCAAGCTCTATCGTTGCACTCAGCGGGTGTTGCAGTGCTTCGATTCAAAAGACCTGAAATAAAAAGCACCTTTCCATAAAAAAAAGTGTCTCACACGGCTCCGGGTGGGGGGGTTTGAACAAAGGCCTCCTGTGGCAAATCGATGCGTTTTTGTAAGAAAAATATCCATATTCAAAACGTAATAATCACTTTAATCTAGCTTGCGCCATCAGTTGTACACAGAAGCAGTTCCGGGGGAATGACGTATGAGTTCAGTGTTGCGCATGCGCCGGTGAGTCTCGTGAAAATTAACGTTTGTTAACAGGATCAAAAGAAACAAAGTTTCCTTACTTTAGCAAAGGAAAACAAGTCTCCTCTTGGCTTATATCGAAATCCTCCGTCATTCTTCTTTACAAATCCTCGTTTTGTACTTCTAATTAGTGACCGTTGTTTTGTTTCGATCTCTCCAAGTGCGTCACTTCTGAGCGGCGCATGCGCAAAGCTGACCTCATATATCCCCCGGAACTGCTTCCGTTTACAACAGTGAGCGCAAGCTAGGTTCAAGTGATTATTACGTTTTGAATATGGATATTTTTCTTACAAAAACTCATCGATTCGCTACAGAAGGCCTTTGTTCACCCCCCGGAGCTGTGTGAGACACTTTTTTTTATGGAAGGGTGCTTTTTATTTCAGGTCTTTTGAATCGAAGCACTGCAACACTCGCTGAGTGCAACGATAGAGCTTGAAAGATCAAAGACAATTTTTTTTATAACTCTGACTGGATTCGTCTGAAAGAAGAAAGTCATATACACCTAGGATGCATCAGGGGTGAGTAAAACACAGCCTAATTTTAATTTTTGGATGAACTAACCCTTTAATGCTTTTATTAGTTGATATCTCTGATGTTTTGGCTGTGCAGCACCTTGGTCAGCACTCGTTGCTTTTAAGGTGCTATATAAATAAACTTGACCTTGACCATGACCTTTTAAGCAATATATTGAATAAAGTGCCATGTAAATACATGTGACGTGGACTTCACGGGAGTGCCAATTTGCAGAGCTCGTGCAAACATACCCATGCTATGAACAGATGCTTTTTATAAATAAATAAAAAAAGCTTACTGTTCCATGATTGTTGTGTTTATTTTGTTACTGAGAGGAAAAGCGTGCAGCACATATGAACATATTCGTATAAACGTTGCTTTTATCAGAGTTGGCGGTGTTGGGATTTTCGATAACAGTATACCGCTGTTCACATATTTCGAACTTCATTTTACCCCTAAATGAAGAATGAAAAGAACTTAGTTTTGAGTATATATTGGGGCCTTAACTTGTTAAGGAAGTTGCTTTTTAAAGTGATGCTGTCAGTGAAATTGTAGAGAAACATGGAATGTAAGTAGCCTATATGGTTGTTTAACAGCTGTAGTGTAAAGTGTATCTTTTGCCCTTACAATATTTAAAAATACTGTCCAGAAATATTTGTAATATTAATATGACTTTGATTAATATGATTTTGTTTTATGCAATAAAGGTGGACACTGAATTTTGCAAGCTTACAAATGTGAAAGAAGACTTGTTCATCAGGAAATGGGAAGGGACCAAATAAATATAATTCTTGGAGAAGAAAATGGACATCAGTCACTTATTAGAGAAAGCTGACAGTCAGTATGATGGTACTATTTTTTGGCTCTACGTGACATGCACACATTTCTAAATGTAATTGACGAATTTTTTAACATTATTTCATTATATAAAATTGATCATTTCAAATACAATTTTGTTTTAAATTGATCTTTTGCATTTGTCCTATATTTTTACTTAGTCAAGATGAGCTGTGCTGCATTATGTTGAAGATTTTCATTCATCTTCCACCCAACGGCATCTGGAAAAAGTGTTGCTGGCAGTAAATGCTGTGGTAATTCTGCTGTCTCAAACCTGTTGGAGTTGGTGCCGGTATGCATTATTACCCCATTAGAGAAGCTTCGCATCTAATCATGAGTTTTATTGCTTTAAAATGTACAACAATTTTTGTACAGTCTTTAAACAATCTTTCAATTGTATTATTCAAGCCTAGAGAGAGCAATGTGTTCAACAATAAATACATGTATTTCTGAACATTAATCTGTGGGATGCTTGAATTGTTTCCATTCATTTAACGTCAGGCACTTTGAAAAAAAAAATCTTTGGGAAAATGTGAATCAATTTAAATTTAAATCTGTTAATAAGCTTCCCACTAACTATTGATCTGTTAAGTATTATGTTTCATTTTTGCTCAGCGTTCAGGTCCATTCTGTGCAGAAAAAGAGTAGAATATGTTCCCAGAATATGTACACAGATGTACAACAATTAATAGAAAGTTTCTTCCATTTCACACACAATATGTAGACTATACAAAATACAAAACAAGACTATACAAAATATGCATACATGTTGACATTTATGATAAAGTTGTAATGTCCAACAGGAAACAATTTTAGTCCTGGTCCATGTAAACCCACAGATACTGATGAGGTGTAACAGAGATGGACATATTATAGTATGACCACAGAAGCATTTCAGTAAACTTGTTGATAGTGAATTCTGCAGGCCCATCAATGCTGCGTTATGCTGTAGTGACCATTCACATGAAATTATCAACATCATTCATTATTGTCCGGCCCATGTCTGGAGTGGAATTTCACTGATATATATATATATATATATATATATATATATACACATACATTTTCATCATTTTCAAACTTAAAATCAACAAGCTTTTATTTTAGCATGTTGCCGGCAAGTAGCCTATATAGGCTAAATGCGCTGCTGCATGAAGAGCATTAGTGAAGGAAATGTCACAGTTTTGCATTGTGCTTTGAAAACGGCAGTGGATAGCCTCGATTTATGCTTTCAGTTCAAATAGAAATCTCATACAGTATTGCAGTTTGTATATCTAGAACAGCTGTCAACCATGTCGGTATGCAAATGAGCGGTCTGAACTTATTTACACAGCGCAGATTTTATTTTGGTCCCACATGCACACCTGCGTACCACATATGTGCACCCCTGTTTATAAAATATTTTCAAAATGTTCTTAGAGCATCATTACCCTAATGTGTCAAGACAATATGTTACCTCTCTTTTTTGCATTCATCTTGAATTTAGGTAATTAGCCACTTTATTTTGGACATACTGAAATTAAGGAGTTCTATTAATCGATCAAAGTAAATTAAACTGAACCTGTTTCAGAGGTTTCAGGTTCAGGAGTTTGGGTTCTGTATTAGATTTTGGTCTTTTAAGTATTGTAATCCAGTTGTAGCTCTTTCAGTGGCCACCCGACGTCTTCTTTCCGTTGACCCACTCTATTATGATGAACGTAATGCTCATAATCATGAAGATGAAACCCAGTGTCACAAACACAATCGCCTGGAAAACATAAAAGAATGTGAGAAAAAAAAGAAGCCATAGATCTGTAAGAGTGAACTTACATTCTGTCTGATTCTCACCTGGATTTTTGGCCAAGATTTCAACGGCTCCTGTGCTTCAGGGACGATGCAAATGTAGAATATTCCCGGAAGAATGAAAATGAGGCTGGGAGCAGATGTGGCACCTAAAACAAAAATTATTCAGGTCAATTCCGCATTTTAATTACAGTAATGTGACCATTAAAATTCTCTACGTGGCAGATCTGACTTACCGATGAAGCCAAAGATGTCACGAATGTTGGGCACGAAGATGACGAGCAGGTTGACAAAGAAGAGGACGCACACAGCGATGGAGATGTGATGCATCCAGTGGAAAGGCTTATCAGGGAAAAGAAGCTGCAAGACGGCACGACGAATCTGGAGAAAAACAAGGCACTGTCAACACTCAACCAGCACGATTAAGAGGAATTATATCCAAGCAATAACTAATGAGCCAGGAAAACCAGGAAAATGAAAGTACCGGGAAGAGGACCACTGGAACGGTCAGCGTCACTGCTATCAGCACAGCCAGCCGAACACACAGCATCAGGGTGTCTTTTTTACTGTACATCTTCAGAAGCTCTGAATCCACCTTTCCTAGACACATAGCGATTGTTAAAACATTTTCAAATATAACAAACCTTGAAATGTTGGTACTTTGATTATTATTTACCATGGTACTTTGTAAATGCCATAGTTCTAGGACTAGGTGTAGGTATTTTTGTTTGTTTGTGAAGTTTCGCTTACCATAGAAGGTGAGGTAGCCAAAGATGGCAGTCAGCAGATACATGACAAACATGGCCAAAATAGAGATATTAGCAACATTTTGCATGCGTTTCTTGTTTGGACTGAAATGAGGAGACAAAAAAACAATATCAATGCATAAAAAATGATTTTTAAAGCCGATGTGAATGAACAAAAGTGCAATTCCAGTCTTACTTTTTGAGTTCTGTGTAAATGGGCAACACTTCAGGGTGACACACAAAAGCAAATGCCATAATGGGAATGGTAAAAGCAGTCTATGATGAATAAAAAAAAAAATGAAGTTAACTGATTAATTCACTGCACTTAAGCAAAAAGGACACTGATTTGCAGTTTATATCTCTAACCTGTGGGTTGATGGTTATAAATTTGGCTTCACACGTGTCATCGGTAGAGTTGTATATGCTTTCAGTGACACCAGTTTCATTATAGCTGTGTTCTAAAGAACACTCTGTGACAAACTTCTTGTAGATAACCTTAGAAACAATGGAGAGATGCTTTTCTTTGTCACCACTACATAACAGTCATTATTAATACTGTATGTAGGTGGATGGAGAGTGGACTTACAGATATGAGGAAGAAGACCATGCAGCTGAGAGAGAAACCACTGGTGTAGCCCAGATACCCTAAAATAAATGCATAAATACATGATAAATGCATGTATCTATTCATGCCATACCAATTTTAATAATTTTTCAAGCTCAACTGGTAGATACTGATACAATGTATTGCTTTAATAAGGCTTTCACTACACCACACCGGAACTTTTTCGCCCTTATGCGAAATTGATTTTAAAAGCGTCGTTTGTGACACTCAACATAGATCTTTAGTGCAGATCAGAATGAGCTTTATGAGCTTTAGTGCCAGGTGTTTACACATACGAGGAATTTGTTTTCGTGACAGAAGCTTCCACAGTGTAACAGAATGACAGTGACAGAACAAAAAAACACAGATAATTAAAAATAGAACAAGTAAATAAGGAATAAAAATATATAAATTGACAGTTGTATGTGCAGGTATATTACAATAGACAGTTTTTGTATGTACTGGTACTGAATATTATGTGCAAATTTGAGGTGTAGACTGAGTATGTGTGTTAGATAAATAAGTGTATGAGTGAATAAACTGTGTGTTCCACAGTTATTGTTAAGTATTCATGAGATGGATGGCCTGAGGGAAGAAACTGAGATGTGTAAATGTTTGATTGTGATTATTATGAAATATAATGGAATGAGAAATGACAGAGGGGGAAAACAAAATGAAAGAATGAAAGGAAAGGAGGCAGGAACCTACCAAGTCGTTTCATAAGCGCCAGGGGAAGAATGACGGTGACACTAACGATAATGATGAGACACCTCCCATCAACAAACCAGTCACTGACAAAGAGAAGTAAATGTTTCACACAACATATCATGTCAGAAGGAGTGATATGATTATGAAGAGCAGTCAGAATGGACACTTCTCTAGCCACGCACAGAGAGTTATTAATGAAATGAAAATGAAATACAGTGAGGTTCAAAGTCTGAGTCTATTTAGAATTCAAGAGGGATCCATATTGTGCTTCAATGGAAGCAAACAACTAACCTTTGATACAAAGGATTTCACATGCTCAGTGCCACAAATTTGCTTATTTGATTAGTGACCTTAAAATAGTACATAATCTATAGTGCAATAGTTATCATTCATTTTACATCATGTTTATTGGTTTCATCTTTTTCAGAATCTTAAAACTTTTACAGTTTTTGAACCCCACTATATTCAGCGCATCAGTACTATGTTCTGGTACTCACGTTGAGTTATCTGGCAGTTCCATAAGACCCTGAATAATATGAGGTAACTCTATCTTCACAATGAACAGGTAACTGGACATTGCTGTTGGATCAAATGAAGAAGCATTAGTGCATCTGTATTCAGTGCTCATATTGCTTTAAGTAGTTATCCCTGAATTTGATTTATCAGCTGTGATGTCTTTTTGACATTGTGAGTACTGTGACTACTGAAATGTATACAGTAAAACGTTTAATTTTACCTCCAATGTTGTGCAGTGTTATAATGCATGCTGCTAAGATTTTCCCAGGTGGACCAAATGCACGGTACCCGAGCTGTTCATATGCACGGATGCCTAAACATACAGACAAACATAATAGAAAGTTCAGAAGAAAGTCAAGGTGCATTTTTAACATAGCGTGTGATGCTATCAGGATTGTCTTATGAGATAAAAGAGATAATGTTTCTCACCAACCACTCCTGCAGTCTTCAGAAGCAGATGGATGGAGTAGGCAGAGAGAACAGTGATGGATATCAACAGGATTCTGCAAACAGTTTACACAAATAATGAAACTAGATAAACGACAACAGCAAAAAGCAAATTCCCATGTGGAATGCAAGGATAATTCACCAAAAAAAAAAAATCTTAATTTAATCAGCCTCATGTTGTTCCAAACCTGTATGTCTTTCTGTCTTCAGTGGAGAACAAAGAATATGTTTTTGAATAAAGTTTTTTTTACCATCCACAGAAAGTCAAAGGGGTACAAAACAACACTGGATCCCACTGTCTTTCGTTGTATAGAGAAATTTTTTTAAAAATATAAATTATATTTTTAAAATATCTTTTTTATGTTCCACAGAAGAAAGTCATGTTTGAAACAACATGAGGGTGAGTAAATGTTGATAGAATTTACATTTTTGGTGACTTTAAAATATAATTTTAATCTTGCTCTTTTAGTTTTACAGATTGTCAGACTCATTAGCCAGTCATTTGTCTTTCAGAGGTGCTAATATAATCACGATTAAGCGGCACAAACTGCAGTTTGATCAGGGATATTATCACCAGTCGACAAGGAGATGACAGAGCAGACACAAATCTAACCTCTAATCTCATTAATGACGCATTAGACAAGCTGAGAGTGTATTTCTTTGGAGTACAACTTACAACAACACTGTCACACACACACACACACACACACACAAAAAGTCTCGATAGTAAAGGTATACAAAATAACCATACATTACGTGTTCTATGAGTTAACACTTCCCCCTAGTATCTATTTGCATATTATTACAGTTTTGAACCCCACTATATTCAGCGCATCAGTACTATGTTCTGGTACTCACGTTGAGTTATCTGGCAGTTCCATAAGACCCTGAATAATATGAGGTAACTCTATCTTCACAATGAACAGGTAACTGGACATTGCTGTTGGATCAAATGAAGAAGCATTAGTGCATCTGTATTCAGTGCTCATATTGCTTTAAGTAGTTATCCCTGAATTTGATTTATCAGCTGTGATGTCTTTTTGACATTGTGAGTACTGTGACTACTGAAATGTATACAGTAAAACGTTTAATTTTACCTCCAATGTTGTGCAGTGTTATAATGCATGCTGCTAAGATTTTCCCAGGTGGACCAAATGCACGGTACCCGAGCTGTTCATATGCACGGATGCCTAAACATACAGACAAACATAATAGAAAGTTCAGAAGAAAGTCAAGGTGCATTTTTAACATAGCGTGTGATGCTATCAGGATTGTCTTATGAGATAAAAGAGATAATGTTTCTCACCAACCACTCCTGCAGTCTTCAGAAGCAGATGGATGGAGTAGGCAGAGAGAACAGTGATGGATATCAACAGGATTCTGCAAACAGTTTACACAAATAATGAAACTAGATAAACGACAACAGCAAAAAGCAAATTCCCATGTGGAATGCAAGGATAATTCACCAAAAAAAAAAAATCTTAATTTAATCAGCCTCATGTTGTTCCAAACCTGTATGTCTTTCTGTCTTCAGTGGAGAACAAAGAATATGTTTTTGAATAAAGTTTTTACCATCCACAGAAAGTCAAAGGGGTACAAAACAACACTGGATCCCACTGTCTTTCGTTGTATAGAGAAATTTTTAAAAAAATATAAATTATATTTTTAAAATATCTTTTTTATGTTCCACAGAAGAAAGTCATGTTTGAAACAACATGAGGGTGAGTAAATGTTGATAGAATTTACATTTTTGGGTGACTTTAAAATATTATTTTAATCTTGCTCTTTTAGTTTTACAGATTGTCAGACTCATTAGCCAGTCATTTGTCTTTCAGAGGTGCTAATATAATCACGATTAAGCGGCACAAACTGCAGTTTGATCAGGGATATTATCACCAGTCGACAAGGAGATGACAGAGCAGACACAAATCAAACCTCTAATCTCATTAATGACGCATTAGACAAGCTGAGAGTGTATTTCTTTGGAGCACAACTTACAACAACACTGTCACACACACACACTCACAAAAAGTCTCGATAGTAAAGGTATACAAAATAACCATACATTACGTGTTCTATGAGTTAACACTTCCCCCTAGTATCTATTTGCATATTGCTGAAAGTTTTGATTGGCAGGAAGTTTTGTTGTGTTTTTTTTTAGCTGTTGAGATTGAAACTATACTAGCAAACTTTTTTCTTTTTTTTCTTCTCTCTCGCTCTCTCTTGTACAACAAGCTGCTTAAAAAGCCTAGTTGAGCTAGACAGACAAGACAAATATACAGACCGCCAGGCTTTGATTTGAGTACAGATCACAGCAGGCTATTAATAACCCTCTCAGGTCTGATCTGTGAGCTGTGCATGTGCAGGTGTCACATCATAGATGCACAGTTAAGTTCAAGCGCCCTACACAAATAAAACCCTGTCATTCTCAAGGATTAGCAAATGCATTTGTTCTATCAAGGAGCATAGTTCTATTTAGTTGTTGTTTTATACTATGTCTGATGTCAGAACTTGATCATTCATGCTAGCACTCGATTTGTAAGGAACATGGTACGTGGTATGGAGGCAGTGAAATTGAAAGAATGAATTTTTAGCACTGGGTTTGCCCGACTTGTCCTCACAGCGGCCTCTAAGTTACATGATACCTCAGCCAAGAAAAAGCATGCAAATATTTGAGGTTGTATTGACTTAGCATTTGTAAGGCTGGTTGTGACTGGCACGTGTTCGTGACAGAGGCACACTGGAGTATGGCTGGATATGCCTATACGGTTAAATGTAGATGGACACAAAGAAGCCTTAAAGGGATACTCCACCCCGAAAGGAAAATTTTGTCATTAATCACTTACTCCCATGTCGTTCCAAACCCCTAAAAGCTTTGTTCGTCTTCTTAACACAATTTAAGATATTTTGGATGAATACCGAGAGGCTTGTGACTGTCCGATTGACTGCCAAGTAAATTACACTGTCAAGGTCCAGAAAAGTATGCTTGTGGTCAGTGGTTATTCTCCAAAATGGCGCTACAGTGATGCGGAGAGACACAGAGGAGACGAATTGTTGAATAAAGTCGTTTTTTTGTTTGTTTTCTTCGCGTACAAAAAGTATTCTCGTCGCTTCATAACGTTACGATTGAAGCACTGATAGCAGATGGACTATTCTGACGATGTCTTTCATTCTTTTCTGGACCTTGACAGTGTAATTTACTTAGCAGTCAATCGGACAGTCACAAGCCTCCCGGTTTTCATCCAAAATATCTTAAATTATGTTCTGAAGACCAACAAAGCTTTTAGGGGTTTGGAACGACATGGAGGTAAGTGATTAATGACAAAATTTTCATTTTGGGGTGGAGTATCCCTTTAATGCTTGGTCAGGCCAAACCCAGACATGCATACCGAGCACATGCATTCCCTGCATACTAACTGAAGTTAATGAATAAAACGCAGCCAAATGCCAAAAAGAGACATTATTCCACTTAGAACCTGAAATGCTTTGTTTACATTTGTAACTATGGGCACATACCAGAAATTGCTCTTCAACTCAGCATTTACACACTGTACTTATTTGTTGATGACATAAAAGAAACACTAGAACTAATTTTTATAATTACACCTTCAATAACCTTTATTTTTATAGCACAAATCAACACAAATGCAAATGAATAATTGGAAGTGTAGTTTGACTTACACAAAAAGGATGATTCCGGTGTTGGCCATGGCGTAAGCCAGTCCCAGAATTCCACTGCCCATGATGGCATTACTGAGGTTGAAAATAGACATTCTGAAAGAAGTCTTTCCCTCGAACTGGAATAAAAGATGAATGGGGTATTAGTCATGAATTGTATATCTATTTATCTGAATAGGTTCTTTTAGCTTAAATGGTTGTTTCACATTTTCTGTGTATTAACTCCACAAGCAAGGAGTAGTTAGAAGTTATTCCTACTGTTATACATTATACTTGAATGTAATATGAAGTGTCTATATTTGTGAGTGTTTTACATCATTCTAATTAGTTTCACCCAGCCGTATACAGTAAGTGTTTGTGAAGTCAACTCTGAAATTTGGATACTCACATCTGTAAACTGAGTCTCTATCTTTCCATTGCTTTTATTGGGGAGGAAGTTATCCCCATCTGTCATGTTTTCAAGGGCATCAAATCTGTAATACAAGGAAAAGGAATATAGTTTTTTATGTAAAGTAACAATGACGTTTGAATTGCCCTGTTTTGAGTTCTGTTTCATCTGTCTTGTATAGGAAATGTTTTGAGAAAATGCAGGAAATTACATATTAGCTACTGAATCACTTTTTGACCATTTAGCAGGTGAGGACCCTTAATATATAAGACTTATTTGTAATTGCATTAATGCAACAGGTTTGTGAATGTTGTATTAATAAATGCCTTAAAAACAGGGGTCTCAAACTCAAATGACCTAGTGGTTAACCAGGGGGCAAACTAAACAGCTGCAACAAATACAAGTGTTTTTACAACAGTCAATATGGCGCCGTGTTTTTATCATTAAAAAACATCATAAAAAAAAAAGTTAATTGTTCATAAAGCTGAAATAAAATAAAATATTAGATGAAAATATGTATAATAAGTTTAAGTACTAAAATTAACTGATATAAAACTAAAACAGAAATTAAAACTATATATTTAAATTATATTTTATTTATAAAAATGACTACAGCACATAAAATTACGTTAAAATTAAAATGAAACCGAAAATCTAAAGTTAAAAGCTCATTTAAAATATTAATAAAAATATAATAGTATATGAATAATACTAAAAAACAATCATATGTAACAATCATATGAGATAACATTATTGGCCAAACATAAATGCGAGTGAAAATTGATCTGAGGTTTGATTTAATGATAGTCCATTAACACCTGAGTTAGTTGAATTTGAAGTTGAATATCCAACATACTTTCAAACCAAGCTTTGCTTAAAGCAGCAAAGGTTACAAACTAAATGATAAGATGTCGTGTAAAATTTGTGAAGATAATTCATGATAATAATTGAGTTAATTTCTTGTGTTGGTGTGGAAACGTACCCATTCTCTGGAATTCTGTTAGGGCTGAGATCATGGTGGCCGTTTGACGTTTTCTGTAGTTCCATTTTAGACTGTACAACACTTAATGTCCTCCAAAGAACACTGTCTGTAAGGTTAAGCTATGTAAACACAATCTGAAACACAGAAAAAGGTTCTGGGATAAATTATCATTTTACTGACAACTGAAATTATTGTAAAACGTGAATGCTTTGTTGAAAAAAGTCCAAAGTGAAAATGTCTAAAATTTGGAAAATAAATTGCAGATACATGCTCAAATCTGCTTGAGCAGTGAGATCGGTGACAATCACTTGCTACATTTCTCTTACTAATGTGCAACAGGAGCATAACCTTCACATAAATATCAAGGACGAGGAGAAGGCAGGGAAAAAGTAATGGTAAAAAGTTTACTGCATGCAAAAAAACATCTAATGGAAAGATTAGCCTTGATATAAAACAACTGTGAGTGTCTGTGTGCATATTTCCCCCCTTCATCATCATATTCAGGCTGGTTGGATAGTGGTGGGCAGTATTCTGAAGCTCTAGTGTTTTTAAAGCATGATTATTGTACAGTAAACAAAGTAAAAATACACTATAATTTTAATATGTGGGAGGTGCAATTACATGCAGGTTAACTCTACTAGAGTAGTAACCTAAAAACTAAATATATATTCCGATCTTCCCAGAGTGTTTTATTGAAGGTCAGATGTGTATAAATATAAAGATATGGCAGAAATAAGAAGAGTGTCATGCTATTGCAAATTCAGCTGACTGTTTTCACACAGGTTTCCTGTACAGGATTGCCATTGGTCAGGTGAATGATATCTCTGGCTCCAAAGTCTTGCTTTTGCTTAAGCTATTGTAGCTGCGTTAGCTGGTCAGGATGCTCAACCAGGAGGTCAAGGTTTTACTGGTTAGCATGGCCCTATGCTAACAGCTTTCTCCAAGTATTACAAGCCTCTTTGACTTAAACAAACAGAGCAATGTTTTCATAGTGAGAAACCTTGCAAAAGTCTCTAAGTGTAGCTACGTGTCCTGAGGTTAAAGAGTCTTCACTCATTTGTTTGTTTCTGTGTTGCCTTAGTGAAGCTGTCCAGCTTGTGTGAGCAGACATTCAGAAAGTCTAGCAGACTACTTTCAGAGCTCACCTGTGTGCTGCTGAGACGGGGGAGGGGATGAGATTAACTCCTGTGTAGAGGAGTGAACATGTGTCTGTGTTTAGGAAGGCCCTGGCACAAGTCCACCATCTTAACACTCTTGTATATATTAAAAATAGTAAATCTGTAGAGTTTTCTATGTATGATGTACATTTATACATGAACACATATTATTATATGGCAGAAAAAGACATTCGGGCATTAGAGCACTGAAGAATGGTCAGGGCTTGTGTGAAAATGTTTAATAATTTGGGGGGATTGTTTAATATGGGTGGGCTATAAAATTGGATAAGGGCTTATAAAGTATGTGGGAGAAGCCAGGGGATTGTGGATAAGTGTACATGTTTTTCTATTCCGGTTGTGACTTAAACCTGAATACATACCGACTCATGGGGACTTGTGTCACCATGGGGACCTAAATTGAGGTCTCCATGGTGAAACAAGCTTATAAATCATACAGAATTCGTTTTTTTGATAATGTAAAAATGTAGAATGTTTTCTGTGAGGGGTAGGTTTAGGTGTAGGGTTGGTATATAGGGCAGAATATACAGTGTAGAATATACGGTTTGCACAGTATAAAAACCATAACACCAATGGAGAGTCCCCACAAGGATACTAATTCAGACACGTGTGTGTGTGTTGTGGTAAGTAATGAGATTAGAAGATCAGGGCTTTTTTAAGGTTACCTGAATGCACTTGTTCTGCAAAGCAGGGGAGAGAGGGGTGATTTGATCCTGTGGGGAAGTTGAGCCACCCCTTGTTTCTAGACAACCTTGAACAAAATTGGTGATATGACCTCAAATATATGAAGAGTTAACCATTTTATTAACCATGTGATGGAGAGAAGCCCATGGAATAATTGGTAACTACATTTAGGTGAAAAAACAAGTTTTTGCTGTTCAAAGTGATTTTTGTATGTTGAAGGACTCGTGCTTCTTGTGTCTGCACAATTACAGACAAATCTGAAAAAAATATCACACATCTGTTTGTGCTTTAGGAAGTTATAATATGATGCTATAATGTTAGAATGATGTTCTAACTCTAAACTGCTAGATGATGCAAGTTTGTTAAAATAGTAGGAGTGGGGTCATTTGAGCCGAAAGTCCAGGGGTAAGTTGAGCCAGTGGTTTACCCCTTCTTATGATTATAAAGTATTATTTTACATGATATTTCATTCATGTTAGACCAAACATTTTTGATTATGTTCTTTGTTTTGAACTTGATTTTGTTCTGAAGGCTCACACATAGATTTTAAGAAGTCATTTTTATTGAATTTCTCTCCCTTTGATATAGCATGAGGTGAAAATGTTCAGTTTTACTTCAGCATAATCAATGGCACAGTTTAACTCCATGTGGCTCAACTTACCCTCTTCCTAGGTTTAATTTACCCCACACTGCGGGCAAGTTGAGCCAAGAGACCACTTTTTTTTTGGAAAGCCATATTTTGAAAGCAGTTTATTTTAGATCCAAAGTGATTATTCCCAATGAAGCACCACATCCTGAAATTTATGTACATATTTAAGTTGGACCCATTACTGTCATGTGCTCGCTTTAAACACACTATAAGTAAAAACTGTCTCAACTCACCCCGCTCTCCCCTATAATTTCCTGATTCATAAAGTCATGCATATCTAAAGAAAGTGGGACATTTTTCCTTGAGTCAAAAATTATTTTAATCTTTAATAATACAGTTTGCTTTTAAGCTATTCCTTATCTTCTATGTTGGCTATTAAGAGACAATTTATCTAAAATGAAAACAAAAAAGTATAAACAAATTTTCTTTCTGTAAATGCCCAGTTAATTGGAAAGGGACAAGGGACATCTACATAAACATTGTCTTGGCCTATATTAGACAGCCCCTAATTATGTATTAATTAATTACTTTATTTTACATTTTCTGTAAGCACCTCACTATTTGTTGAAAAAAAAATATCTCATTAGTCTTTATTATATAATAGGCTATTTGCTATAAAATATTTGACAGATGAAAATCATGAACCATGTCAGATGATAAATATTTGGCTGGCCAAATGTAAGCATGGGTTTGGCTGGAATTGAAATGATATTTATCAAAGTATTGTTGACTTTGTTTTATTTACTGTTGCTAATGCAAGTTCAATGTTTTGTTTAAATTTTTTTCTTTTTAAACTTAATAGCATACAAGAATGCATTAGTAAAAAAAAAGTATAATCACAATGATTGTCACGTCTAACATGAAAACAGTATATAATATTCAGTAATGCTTCATGTTGTCATGTACTGTTTATTGTGGTTTCAAGGAGATGCATGACGCAGACTTACCAAATACAGATACTGTAATAAATGCTAGGAATCTTCACAGAGACCACATACAGTAGCACAAGACATAATCCTGATTCATGTACTGTAAATTCATTTAAGGACGGCAAAAGTCTATGTTTATATATATATATTAAAGAAAACAAAGGCAAAGTATGAGAGACAGTAATTCACACACACACACACACACACACTCAAGGGATTATGCCAGTGTTTGCAGACATGTGGCCATTTGGCCTCAAGTGTTTACTTTTAGCTATAATAAAAAGATCGATATTAAAAATGTTGTGTGATTATCATCATCAAACAGGATGTTCTCACACAAAGACAGAAACTAACTTATATGACTATAGTTAGTCACACACGTGGCTCTCACTCACAGCAAGCTGTAGTTGTATTGCCTTGTGGGTAAAACAAAGATTTACACAGGAATCAAAACACTAGATGTTATAAAGTCTAATGGTCTATACTTATTATATGGGAGGAAACATCATCTATTGTTATTTTCTGGCAACTTGCCGAAGAAGACGTCACATCCTGAGAAATTCAGTTGAACAATATCAGTGATCCAGCTCAAGATACACTTTGTGATATCTCACAAGAACAGACTCTTCAAGAAATACCTCTATCAGCATTCACTGAAGTGGTATAACCGGTCACAAAGTACCATTACGTATTACGTACGTATTTTAAAGCAGTAAAGTGGCTTTTGAAGCTCGGAATTTATAAAAAATGAAACTGCTACAGAAATTCACTGCATAGTGGAAACGTGGTGGATTATCGAATACTCAACCTTATTCCATCACTTCAACCTCAATTCACCCCACATCCTGTCTATATCACACGTGCATCTTACAAAAATGTAGTTTGTGTGTGAGTATTTGAGTATAAGAGTGAGAAAATGCTCAGTGATGAATATCCCAATTTATAATCCATATCAACCATGAGTGCCATTGTAAACAAGGAATATTCAAATGTAAGTTTATTCTTAGCCAAATGAAAGAATCTAGATATACGCATCAGATTCTGTACAATAGCAGCCATTACAATTATATGAGAAATGCATAATATACATTAATTCTACTATGATTAAATGGAGAAACTGTTTAAAGATTCATGTGAACCTATATACAATTGTGTGATTGTTCTCTGAACTGCTTCTGTTGTGAATTATTGCTGCTTTCGGTTATAGATGCCATGTGCCACATGGTCTCTCTACTTCCTTCTCAGAGAAGATCTCATGAACGGTGCTAACAATAAATCTAGAAACAAATGATTTATTAACTAGTGACTCTATATAAAGAAACCATTAGACAGCTGTCGCCTGTGTTGTTTTTATACTGACTTTCTGTTGAGAGAATATTTGAGAGATAATGTAGTTTTCTTACCTTCTGACTCTTTAATTAAAAATCTTCAATGTAGGCAACAAATAGATCTTCCAGAATATATATAGAAAAAAATGATGGTTTGATACTCCTAGATGGTTCTTGAGTAGGTCATCTAGTACAGACAGATGGAGTGAAAGGGAGAGAGAGAGAGCTTAAAAGACTGAAAAGTGGAAGCATCTAGTACGGGAAGTTTTAAGCCTCTACTTCAACTCTAAAAAAGAGCGGGACTTCCAGTTTGTCCCGCCTTCTCAAGTCAGATAACTATGCTCTGAATCTCATATCTCTTTTTTTCCCTTTGTGTGTACATACCTACAATAGCTATATAGTTCGAGGACAATATTATCCCAAGAAGTGAGCTAAATCTGATAAAACCTCATTATGAAGATGTTTGATTCTTGATTGGGAGAAAAAAATGGGTCAAAGTTTGGGTTAGTTTTATAGACTATGATAGTTTTATAGACTATGAAAACAAAGTATGAAAAAGTATACCAACATTCAGTTAAAAATATTAAAGCCATGTTAAGAATAAGAAGCATGCGTCTAATAATGTAATTTGTCATTGTGTGTGTGTGTGTGTGTGTGTGTGTGTGTGTGTGTGTGTGTATTAAGGTGGTCGAGAAGTACAAAACAAATCACAATTCTGAAAACAAAATAACAAATTACAAACGCAAATGCAAATGAACAATTCAGAAAACACAACAACAATTCAGAAAACATTATAACAAGTCAAAAAACACAATGACAAATCTGATAACAAATTAACAAGTCAGAAAACACAATGACATATCAGACAAGTCGGAAGAGGTAGGTATAGTTTGAGACAGCGCCATTGGTTTGAGAATAGATTACTTACCGCTGACTGGACGAGACATCTGTCAATCAAGTTATACAGGAAGAACAGCAGACTAGCGGTAGAAAGTTCGGAGATGCTATTAAAGTAGCTCAGTTTAAATGTATTGTATTAATTGCCCTTACTATGGAATAATATGCATACATTTACAACACTATACTCTGTATTATTTTACCTTTGAATCAGAATACAAAAAACTAGTTTTTTTTATTTATGGAAAATACTTTTTTTCTTTTCTTTTTTCTTTATTGAATCACTCAAATTCAACACTTTACAGTAACCAGGGGGTGAACACAAAGAAAAAGAGATACAAAATTACAATGAAATAAAGAGAAATGAAAAAAAAATCAATAAATCAATAAATAAATTACATAAAAACATGGAAATGTTTACCTACATTAATACACTTAACAGCTTTCTTGTTTATCAAATTGTAAATAGATTTTAGGTATTGTTTAACTTCTGATTTCAAAATGAGAAACAATGGTTTATAATGACCGTACTTGCATTTATGTATACTAAACTTTGCCAGCAAAAGTAATAAATGAATCAAGTAATATTCCTTATGGAATGACATATCGTAAGTGAAAAAAACAAATAAAACATTTTCAAAACAAAGTTGAAAGCTGGGCATGATATGATCTCTAACAAATGAGCAGAAATCTGACCAAAAACGCTATTGCGAGAGTGTTTCTAATACAGCGTCTGGGACTGACGTAAATTTGACATAGTTCTCTCTTCTGACTGCCGTTATCAGTATCTCTCTCATTTTTTTCTTCTTTTTATAAGTCGTGAAAATACTATTGTGGATTTTTCTTTTGCTATTTGAGCAAATGGGGATGCAAAAAAAATGAAATGATGAAATGAAGAAAAATAGTTTTCAGTAGGGCACTTAATTAAATAAAGGCTGACAACATTTATTTAATTTTAGAAATGACATTTTAGACGACAGAAAGGGGACTTTTGTTTTGTTCTCTTTCCACTCAAGCACAAACCCGGAAGAAGGAAATTATGTCCGTTGTCGTCTACTAGCGCAAGTCAGTTTGAGGTCGAGTGGAAGGTAAGCAAACAAGTTTTATTTCAAACTAACACATAGTTTACAAGTAAGTAGTTTTGTTTTTGGTAGTTGTTCATACTTTGCCAAAGTCGCTTGAGCTCTTATTAGAAATTAAGCAGGATTTCGGTCGTTTCACACTTTGATACGAGAGCAGATGAGTCTGAACAGACAGTTAGCGGCTGCTGCTAGCAGACTGACAGTCTTACACTACTGAGAGTAGTTCTTGATTTTTTCTTTTCATACATCTTTTTAGGCCTGTAATTACTAGAATTATAATGACTTATTAGCCTTGTTTTTGCTTATTAAAATTGCGTAAATGCTAAATAAACAAACCCACTGAAAACATGAGTTTGCACTGACAAACATTAGTGCGTGTTGTTTACAGTGTTTGTTTGCTTTTTCCTTTTGCTTTTTTTTTTTTTGGGCTGACGTGTTTCTCCATGATGGACTTTATTAGTATTAAGTGTTGTTCAACAGATGACATGTTTATGTCATTATGACTTTCGTTCTGATTTTCGTTGTCAACTTTGTTTCATTTCGATTTATTAATCACACGATTTGTTCAGAGTAAAATTCCCCTTGCTGTCTGCAAATTCTTCTTTCCAGACCTCAGTCTCAGAGACATCAGCTGTGGAAATTGAGTCAGAAGACAAATATAGCGTTTGTTTGAGTTTCCAAGCAGAGTAAAGTAAATTTACGTATTTAACGCTTGTTTTGGCCACGGCGCAACAAAGGGCCAGTCAGACTTTACAGGCGTGGAAGATTGAGTGTTAAAGGACTATGGCTTGCAGTGTAAATGTTGTAGATAAACATTAAATCTCACAATGGTTTTTGTGTTGTGTCAGTAAGTAAAGGACAAGAAAAAAAACGTTTTTTTTTTTCGCGATCTCGCCGTGCTTTTAAAGTAGAAATGATTTCTCTTTGCTCCTGGATTAAACTTTGTCAAAAGTTATCAACCATTCAGAATAGATCCACGCCTGACCGATAAAAATCCAGAAATGCACCAGAAAGTCTTTCAACAATTAAAGATGGAACTTTAATTTCTTTACAATGTAAGTTTATGCTAGAAATGTTTTGGAATGGGATATTTGTCTGATTTGTACATATAAATATCCTAGTCTGCCTAACTGCATCACTACATTGTACAGTCATTACAGGTCAAAGCCATCTGATGTTCCATTTATCTAAATAAATAGGCCTAGCATACTGTATATGGCTCTTAAATCACTGCTTTTAAAAATTCAGTGTTGTCGTATTTTGAATACCTCAGACTGAATTGAGGTCATTTGTTTTATAATTTTATTACTGACCCTGTACTTGTCTTTTTTTTTTGTAAATTAAATTCAGTTTTAAATCAAATTTGAAATCAAGCTTCCTTGTGCTGTAAGCTTTTGCTACAAAGTTACCCTATTTTAAAGACAATAGGGCCCAAATGTTTAAGACTGAGATTTTTGTAATGGTAATTGATCAATATTTATATGTATGTAAATAAAAGCCTATATAAAATCTGTTCATCATATAAAGCGAATGTGTCTTTTTAGAAGACTTGGATTAAACCAATTTCAAAGCTTGAAAAAAATGAGTGCCTTGAAAAAATGGATGGACAAAAAAAATTAAAATATCTATATGGCAGTATACAGTATGTGGTAGTTTTGCCAATGGTATTGAAAATGATTATACATCATGAAATCAAAAATAACCCTATTTACTTTTTTAGTGCACATTACTAGTCTTGTGGCGAACAATTGAACCATGCAAGTCAATACACTGGAAAAAAAATTGTCTGCTGTCGCTTCCGCTCTGGAATGGCGTTCTGGCTCTGATGACGTCAGTTTGACGGCTTCGGGAGAATCCTCTTGTTAAGTCAAAGATGGAACTTTAATTTCTTTACAATGTAAGTTTATGCTAGAAATGTTTTGGAATGGGATATTTGTCTGATTTGTACATATAAATATCCTAGTCTGCCTAACTGCATCACTACATTGTACAGTCATTACAGGTCAAAGCCATCTAATGTTCCATTTATCTAAATAAATAGGCCTAACATACTGCATATGGCTCTTAAATCACTGCTTATACAAATTCAGTGTTGTCATATTTTGAATACCTCAAACTGAATTGGTCATTTGTTTAATAATTTTGTTTAGTAAATTCAATTCCGTTTGAAATCAACCCTCCTTGTGCTGTAAGCTTTTGCAACAAAGTTACTCTATTTTAAAGACACAAATACACAGAATGTGCAAATGTTTAAGACTGAGATTTTTGTAATGGTAATTGATCAATATTTATATGTATGTAAATAAAAGCCTATATAAAATCTGTTCATCATATAAAGCGAATGTGTCTTTTTAGAAGACTTGGATTAAACCAATTTCAAAGCTTGAAAAAATGAGTGCCTTGAAAAAATGGATGGACAAAAAAAATTAAAATATCTATATGGCAGTATACAGTATGTGGTAGTTTTGCCAATGGTATTGAAAATGATTATACATCATGAAATCAAAAATAACCCTATTTACTTTTTTAGTGCACATTACTAGTCTTGTGGCGAACAATTGAACCATGCAAGTCAATACACTGGAAAAAAAATTGTCTGCTGACAAGCAGATATTCTTAAAGGGGTCCTATTATGCTTTTTCACTTTTTGAATTTTAGTCAGTGTGTAGTGTGTATGTTTGGGCATAAAAAAGATCTACAAAGTTACAAATCTCAAAGTCCACTCCAAAGGGAGATTTTTAAAAATCCCTTTTCAAGAACTACAACGAACAGCTTGTTTGGACTACAGCGTGGTTTTCTGGGGTTTGTGATGTCACAAAGTGGCCCATTAGAATATCATTCAAATAAATCCCGCCTACAGAAATTCGAATGGTTGGGATGTGGGGAGGGGCGAGGTCGTGGTTAGAACGCTTGGTTGAGAAATCCTACAATGTGATTTTCTGGATTTTTTTCCCTCATTTTGTCTCTCATAGTTGAGGTATACCTATGATGAAAATTACAGGCCTCTCTCATCTTTTTAAGTGGGAGAACTTGCACAATTGGTGGCTGACTAAATACTTTTTTCCCCCACTGTATTGTGCAGTATATCTTGCCTATGTTGCCTTTCAGTTTGTATAAAAAGTAGTATGTGAAATGCAGTGGTGGAGGTAACGAACTACTCGCGTTACTGTAATTAAGTAGTTTTTTCGGTTACTTGTACTTTTTTGAGTATATTTTTAAAGCTGCACTTTTACTTGTACTTAAGTACAAAGATCTACAAAGTTACAAATCTCAAAGTCCACTCCAAAGGGAGATTTTTAAAAATCCCTTTTCAAGAACTACAACGAACAGCTTGTTTGGACTACAGCGTGGTTTTCTGGGGTTTGTGATGTCACAAAGTGGCCCATTAGAATATCATTCAAATAAATCCCGCCTACAGAAATTCGAATGGTTGGGATGTGGGGAGGGGCGAGGTCGTGGTTAGAACGCTTGGTTGAGTGCATCAGACAAGAAGACGAGGAAGGAGAAGTGCTGCTGTAGCCTCAAGTTTTTGCTAAAAGACGGAGCAGTTCCCACTTTGTCGGGACAATCTGCTGTATCTGCATCACAGCCTGTAAGTGTGCTGCTTTATTTGTTGTTGTGTGTGTTATTTACGTTTCAAAGTATAAGTTGAATGCCGTTTCTGCGAAGTAATACATATTACCTTTGCACTTATCTGTACATAGTAAATGCAGTTGTTTTTAAGCAGTTGTTGACATCCTATCTAAAACGTGATTTAGCCAAAAAACAACAACAATAAAGTTACCACTCTAATATGTCTTGCAATGTCCGTGCGTGCAAAGGTTCTGGGCGATCCTCTTGTTTAATATTCTCGGGGTCTGAATCCGGCTCAAATTGATATGGCAATATTGACGCCATCCTTAACTAAACCAGAGCAGACGGAACTTGCTGCTTTGGCAAGGGGCGGGGCAGTACTGAAACACCGTCTAAGCTGATCGCCAATCACAACGCACTGGGATAGCTAACCAGTCACAACACATTTCGTTTTTCGGAAGGCGGGTCTTCATCAAACCCGGAACTAATTGAGCCGTTTGTGCCAGGCTGGGGAGAAAGGTATTGTAATAACGTAAATTATGTGAAAATGAATGCGTTTTTCGAACCACCAAGCGTGAGAGCATGTTCTAGTACACCCCCAAAACAAAATCAAGACTTTGTAAAAGAGCATAATAGGACCCCTTTAACCTCTCCTATCCAACCGTGAATCTGCTATGAGCATTCCGTTTCACTTGGAAATACATCACAACACTGAAGTCAGTTGCAACTTCCCGTTCACGGGTACTTTGATACTGATATTTTTCAAGGTATTGAAGTTAGAAATTCCTGTATCATGACCACTAATTCACGTATTTTGTCAATAAGATAAAAGTGGGTTTTGTTTAAAGTAGCCATTATCCACATAGATCTTTGATATGAATATTTTTTGGTAATTCATTAATTATCTCTGGCTAAAAAGTAACTAGTAATACTAATACTCTGTGTAGTCTTTGAGTGGAGTACTTTGCACTTTTACTTACGTACTGTTTTGACACCAGTACGTTTATTTGTAATTGAGTATTATTTCAGCAATGTAACAGTACTTGTACTTAAATACAAATTTTCAGTACTCTTTCCACCACTGGTGAAATGTGAGGCATCATTGCATTATAAATATTTCAACAAATGATCTATCTTAATTGGTCAAATGATCTTGTCACATTGCATGTTTAATTCAGCAAGTGGTATCCAGTTATCATCCAGGAAATAGTTTTTATTAATTCATTTATTTATGTATCCAGTTTTGTTCAAAAATGACTTGTCTTGTCAAATAAGAATGTAAAAACATGTTGTAACTTTGGGGCTTGTATTACTTCTGGTTCATTCATCATACTACAAGTAGAGCACATTTTGAAAGAAGTCTCTTATCACCAAGGCTGCCATTACTCCAGTCTTCAGTATCACATGATCCTTCAGAAATCATTCTAATATGCACCCCCCCCCCTTCATCCAGGGAGAGACCAGCAGCTATTCCAATTGAGATCAAAAGCATTGACGACACTTCCAACTTTGACGAGTTTCCTGATTCAGACATCCTCCAGCCTTCAGGTGTGTTTTCAGTTATTTGTAATACTTACTAAAATACATGACTTTTTTTGGGGGGGGGGGGGGGGTTGTAATGTATTTCAAAAAACATTACTTAATCTCTCTCTCTTTCTCTCTAAAGCCCCTCCTGTGTCCAACCACACTGAAGCTGATCTGAAGAGTAAAGACTGGGTGTTCATCAACTACACCTACAAGCGCTTTGAGGGGCTGACTGCACGAGGAGGCATCCCATCATACATGAAAACTGGGAAGAGATAGGCTTCAATAGGACTCAATAGGTTGTTTTTCCACAAGGAGACATTCTCCATCGCTCCTCCTAGCATCTGAAGGATCCTGCATCATCCATTTCCTTTTTTGACTCACTCAACCATGATTCATTTATGGATGTGGACTCCACCCGCACTCAATCCATAGAAAGACACGTTCAGAGTCTTATCTAAGGGCTTCTTTTCCTCGAACACCCTGACTGTGCTCGTTTTATCCCTGAGCTTTTCCGTTTTTCCTTCTTACACTGACACTGGCAAAAAGGGCTTGAAGGGCTGGTTAGACTTCCTGCAACCATAATTGATTTTAATTGCATTAGCAAAGGTGGATCATTGATTTACTGCTTCCAAGAACTAGCATTTGTGGTAGAAGCCCTGTCTCAGCCTTTTTCTTGTCCACATCTACTGTACACATCTTAAAGACTGAAACCTTCCCTTTTATTAAATAAGATGGTTGTTTTGAAAATCCATACTTCTAAAGACTTCACTTTTCTCCTCTGTTTTTGAAAATGTTTTCTTGTTACGCTCACCATCCAAGATCTCAGCGACAATGGCAAAACACGGGGCTTCGTAGTCAGTCTGATCTGAATGTTATTCATACAAACCCCCAGAGCTGTAGATGTTGCCTTACATTCGGATCCTTCTTATACCAGCAGAAACATCATGAATGCATTTGCCAGTCAAATCAAATTGTTCATTAACATAACATTGAAATTTCACCAGCTGATGTCAAAGACCAAGCAAACTCTACGGACCAGCGTTTGTTTATTATTTAATGGGTAGTTTCAGCCACCGACTGATTCAAAATTTGCTTGGTGCTAATGCTGTTCTTTTTTTAATCTTTTTTTTTTTTTTAATAAAGGGGCTCATTGCTGATGTTTGGGGAATAAAGGCAAAAAATTTTTTGCATCTTGATGAGAATAACAACACTATTCAGGGATTTGAATTTGATTGAGTCTTCCATTTTAATATGGGACGAAATGTTCAATGCAAATTGTTTTATATTACCAAAGAGGCACCACTTTTCATCTGCTTTATGGGCTTGACTCTCAATGTTGTTTGGATGTGGATGCTTTGGCTTTTATACAGCATTAATTAGCAAGATTACTTTGTCTTAAGCCGTTAATATATAAACTTGTAGCAAAATATTCATTCCAATATGGTTCCAATCAGTCTGCATTATTGGAAGTTGCTTTTATCAGCATGTTGCTTGTGATGGCTGACTTTGTTAAAAAAAAAAAACACAGATTCCAGACAGTGAATGACTGAGTCATATTTCTACAATCAGGACCCATATGTCTTCTTTCTGTGACCAAATTGAATGTATCTTGAAGATTAAAAGAGGCTTCTAGAAGTTGCATTCATATAGGATTGGCTGCCCAGGAATGATATGAGATTGGCCTAAATGCTTGAGTGAATGATTTGGCGACTAGGTTTTATGTTACACTGCATGACAAAGGGTTCATATGTGGAATTGCTTGTTAGATGTCAAGCTGAGCAGCTGTTGTACACCGTATACTGCTAGAGAAATATTATCTCAAATAACATATCATTTGTAGCATTCTGGGATACAGTAATATGGAACGTAGATTGTGAAATCGTGATTGAATGGTGCATTTTTTTTATCCTTCGAGCAATATGTGACCGACTTTGGTCTGGATTTGTATTATTATTGTTCTTTTTTTAATATATAATAGTCATGGCTGGAGATTTTCATGCTGTCTGTGAGTCGGCCTGATGCATGTTTTTGTGTGCTGGACAAGTCAAAGAGCTTTGAATGAGATGGAGAATTTGTATTTTGATTTTCGTTGTGCTGCTTTTATTTGTTTCGTTTATTCAAGTATCATTGAATGGGAATATGTGAGGGTGATTTCATGGTTATCGCTTATGAATGATAGCTTAATGGAATTATACACCGTCTACAAGAAGCAGATCACAGGCTGAGATGTTTTGTATCTTTTGTTGCTGTCTCTCACATGCTGAAAATGATCATGAAACCAGCGTGTCAATGAGAGTGTCTGTTTTAAAATCTTGCTTGCATTATTGTCCTAAAGTGAGGACTTTCTCTTTGAATGAGGAAAAAGGATCTTCTTTTTTTCTTGAAGATTAACAATGCACCTTTTTCTAGTTGTAATGTCTTGTATATTTAAAACACACACATTTTTCGAGATGTTAAATACACACTGAATGACTGTTCTGTTGTTTGCCTGTGAGAGTTTGTAATTCTTTCTGCAGCTTTTTCACCTAACCAGATGTAGACTAGTCTTAAGACTTTTGGGGTCTATATTTACTTGCCTAGAGCTAAAGAAATAATTACACCAATGTGTATAAAGGAGTTTATTCACACTGCCGCTAATGCTCACAAACTGTCCATGTGGGAGATCTCGGATTTTTTGCTGATAATCCAGATCTCAAATGCAGTGCTGATGGAGGAACAGCATTCCTACTTCTGAATGGTATTGAACATGGCCCCAGTTTTCCCTGATGTCACGTTCTGCTGTGGGAGGTGGACGTTTGTCCTCTCTCTGCCTTAAGTTTGAGTTGTAGAGATTTTTCCTGTGCTCACAGAGCACCTTTCACTGGTTTATTTGTCTGATAGAGAGTTTGTTTTTGAGTGGGCACACTTTGACCTGTTAAATGTCCTGAATAAATTACCAGTTCATTTAAATGAGTGTGAGGCTCTTCTGTTCCACCTACATAGGAAAATTTTAGCCGACAGTTATAGCATAATTCTCTTTTAAGCACACGTTTTCCCACCTTAATTCAAGCGCATGCGATAGACTCAACTGTTGAACAGAAGTTCAATATGACGTTATAAATAAGAATGCAGAAACAAATCTTTAAAAGGTTCAGGTTTTTTTTCTTTCCATCTTTTGAGCACACCAACAAAGGTAAGACTCACATATACTTGTTTCTGAATGATAATTAAAAATAGCAAATGTATACATTTCTTCCTAATAAATGCAAAATGCTAGTTTTGGAACATAAAAATGGAGGTGTGCTAAAGATATGTGTATGAAAATAATTACTTAAAACAAAAAAATCACTAATAAATAAATCTGAATAATGTATTTATTAATTTAATCCAAATAAATTTATAAAATGAATAATTTATGAACTTTATTCAGATATGCTAAGGTATGTGTATAAAAACAAGAAATATTTAAATAAATAAAAATTTTACAAAATGTGATTTATTTAAATAATTTGAACAATGTATTAATAAACATGTGATATTATAAATTCTCATTTTCAGTATCTTCTGACAGTTTTTGCTGATCGCTGCTCCTTTTCTGTATCAAAAGTCACAATGGCTCATTCAGCACTTTGGCTGGTATTGTTGTACTGGACACTCCTGCACTCCCCAAGCAGGTGTAACAATTTAAAGGGGTCCTATTATGCTCTTTTACAAAGTCTTGATTTTGTTTTGGGGGTGCACTAGAACAGGCTCTCATACTAGGTTGTTCGAAAAACACATTATTTTTCACATATTTTACATTATTACAACACCTCTCTCCCCAGTCTGGCATGAACGGCTCGAATAGTTCCTGTATCAAATGAAGGCCCGCCTTCTGAAATACGAAATGTGCTGTGATTGGTTAGCTGGGCCAGTGTGTTTTGTGATTGGCAGCACTCGGCGCCTGGTCGGGAAATGTCATGCCTCTTACCATAGCCGCCTGCGTGCTTCAGTGTAAGTGTTGCGTCAAAATCAAATAAATTTGAGCGCAATTTAAACCCAGATGATTGTAACCACTCTAAATTCGTCTGTCTTGGGAAAGCTAGTGCGTCTCCAACATATAACACTCATTGCCTTCTCTAGTGCAGCTCAACCAGGTCTCGTCCCATTCGTCGGTATTTGTGATATCACAAATCCCAGAAAATATGCGTTGTAGTCCAAACGAGTCGTTCGTTGTAGTTTTTGAAAAGTGATTTCTGTTAAATAAAATATCTGCTTTTGAAGTGGACTTTGAGCTTTGTAACTTTGCAGATCTTTTTTATGCTCAAACAGCAACATTACAGACTAACTAAAGTTGAAAAAGCTAACAAGCATAATAGGGCCCCTTTAACTAAAGCCGAACTGCAAGAACTGGAGAAGATCAGCACCTGGGTCATCACCCGCAGCTTTCCCTGCAGTGCCACCTGTGAGCTTGGCCTCTGTACTCAAGAGCTCTGTCCTATTGGGGGAAACAGAAACATCTCCAGCACGTCCTGCAAGATGAGGACTGTCCGCTGCTTAGACACCTGGCAGTGTGGACTGAAGACCCAAACAGCAACTGCTGGTCAGCGTTTGGTGCTTGACTGCCTAGAGGAAGTGATGGAAGCCATGGGCCGCTTTGCCTTTGTGGTGTCCTGGCGCTTTGCCCATGGAATCATCACATCTAATGACTCGTGATTCAGCCGCTATGAAGCCCTGAGCCTGGACAAGGTGCTGTTAAACCCTCTCAGAGAAGAGGATTCTGGGACATACCGCTGTGATGTACTGGACACCAGCAAACAAATAGTGAAGAGAATGTATAAAGGGGTGAAAGTGCTATCATCCAATGGACTGAGGTTAGACTTTGCAAAAAGTCTGATTCACCATGGGAAAACCCAGAGAGCCTGCTTCCTAACATCACGACCACAGGAAACCCGTATCCCAGCAGCACTGTCCGAAACATGGTGCTGATATGGGTCAGTTATCCTCCTGCACTTGTGGGATTTTTACCAAATAAGAGTAAGAAGAACAGCTCAACTTTCCCAGTTTGGGAACGTTTCAAAGATTAAAAAGTCAAATTAGTATCCCATATTCCTTTTCCTGCATCATTTACTAAGTCACTGATGAATAGAAGTGTTAAGAATGAGTTTGACCAAGTTGTTGTTCAATGTTCATGTTCAAACTATCTGTGTACTCAGGGGCATCATGCACTCATTATTTTTGAGGGGGCAAGAGTTGGGTGGGGGGGGGTTCGTCATGACACACAGCAGCCACAACAGCACTTATGTTTTATTTATTTTTTCCTTTTTATTCGAAACATCCCCAAACGCATTAACTATATCATGAAATATCTTGATTCTCACCTTTATAGATAATGTTGATCTATAGTGGGCGATGGTCAAAGTAACCTAATAATGTAATCTATTAACTATGCATAAAAACCTGTCTGTTTACTTAACAGATATGGGTGTCATGCCATAACATATTTTTAATACGACTGAGTTTATATTTAATGTGAATTTTATATCTAATCATAACACTTTCATTGTACAGAAAGAGAGCAAAGAACATTTACATTAAAGAACATTTTCACTGACAGCCTAGAGTTCAAGCACTCTCAAAAACTGCCATTAAAATCACTGAAGCTGTTTACACTATGAAATTAATATCTTACAGATTCGTACACAGTACACACATTTGCACTTTGTTGTTTCTGACGAGAGAATTCGCCAGAAAGAGGTATTCATGCAGCGAGCAAGTGAAGAAAACACCAGCATTTTAGCGATGACTCATCTGAACACCTCTGATTGGTCATTGCATTTGAGTTTAGCAGCTGATGATATGACGCACTGAACGTTCTAATCACGCTGGTGTGATTATATTAAATATAGAAAACATTAATGGCTATTTTTTGTCTTTTGGAAGCTGCATTCAAAATCCACTTGGCTCAAAAATCTGAGGGGGGCACGTGCCCCTTCACTTTGAATGGGCAAGACGCCTCTGTGTGTACTATATATAGAGTGGAGCTGTTAATGAACTGTTTTATGAAAACTGTTAATGAAAAAAGTTCACATTTGTGTTAAAGAGGTCAAACAGTTCACTTCATCAACAATGGGTCAAGTAGTCACAAGTTCCTAATTTTGATACCAGTA